TCGGTGGAACCCAGCATGCTTGGGTTCAGTGGAACCCAGCACGCCTAGGTTCTTTTGAACCTAGGTGAAAAATTAAAAAAAAATTCTGTTTTTGTTTTTTGGATTTTGTTGTTTGATGGTGATGAAAAATTGATTGATGAAGATGAAGAAGGCAAGGCAAGGCAATCGCTGGGTTTCTGCAGGTTTTTGCAAGTTCTGGGTTTGAAATCGAACCCAACAGCTGCTGGGTCAGTGGAACCCAACAGCTGCTAGGTTTGAGTAGTCTTTGGGTTCCTGCAAGTGAGGCGCTGGGTTCCGTTTCGAACCTAGCAGCCGTTGGATCGATGGATTTGTTGAGTTTGATTTGGTTATCGATTTGTTGTATGTGTGTTATCATTCTTGAGGTGCTGGGTTCGATTTTGAACCTAGCAGGTGATCAAACCCAGCAAGCATTGGGTTTTGTTTCGAACCTAGCAGCTGTTGGCTCGAAGGATCCATTGAGTTCAATCTGTTGATTTGTTGTGTTATCCTCAAATTTAATATTAGAAGGTGTTACGGTTTGAAGAAGGTGAAAGGAAAGGGAGAGTAAGAAGAAAGGGAAAAAGGAAAAACATAGGAAGAAAAAAAAAAGAAAAAGGAAAAAGAAAATTTTTAAGGTTTTTTCTTGCCATCTCATTTTTTGCCACGTTGTACATCCTAGGCGTCAAAATGCTTTTACATGTCATCCTTTTCCTGTCAAGTAACAGGACACATACGTTGATATTTAATGGAAGGACCAAATCGGGGTGAAATTGGTAAACAGTAGGGACTAAATCAGGGATTTTTTTAGTTTAGGAACTAAATCGGGGGTTTGTACAATAATTCAGGGACTAAATCAGGGATTCGTACAATAGTTCAGGGACTAAAATGGGATTTTAATCTTGTAAAAATTATTGATTATTTGAAGAAACAAATAACATAATCGAGTATCCTTTATAATCAACAATTATTTGTTGATTATATGGTTACAATCAAGAAAAAATTGATTGTCGATTATAGACTTATCAATTTTACTTTATTTTCTAGTAGTGCAAGCATGCTTAGAGACTCCTAATTGATCACTTTAAATTACTAATTGAACACTTCAGACAATAGTTAAGCTTTCTCCTTCTTTCCTTAGGGACATCTCTTGTTTTGTCTCTTTTGGTATGATTTCTACTATTGTAAATTGTCCTTCAACTTCCAAGATTAAAGTGTTTACTCTTTTCTTTTTCTTTTTTTTTGGTTTCACTAGCTAACTCACCTTATATTTCCTCAGCAACGAAGTTGAGCGAATGAGAAAATTAGACTTCCAAATTTTTGTCCAAACATATCTCCTATTCTTAAGCTTGAAACCTTGATTGTGGCTTCAATATATTTTTATTATTTCGTGAAGAGTTCAAATAATTTATTCAATTAGTTTTGCATGTATTGGGATAAGAATTATATTGTTGGTTGTAAAAGCTCTAGAGAAAATTAGCATGCTTGTTTGATGGTTTAAAATAACAATCAAAACTAAAATGTTTTACTTCACACCTTCGGCAAATGATGTTAAATTGTTTTATTATAGCAATCTTTAAATTTTTTTTTTTTTTGCCATTGATAGCATTCTATAATTTGATTCCTTCAATGACTGCTTGAACCTATTCAAATTCATTGTCATAAAATTCAACTTTCCAATTAATAGTTGTTGCTTCAACTTGTACCTTTAACTATGGAGCAAGAATTGACAATTCATATTAGGGTCTCACAACTCAATCAATAATTAAATATGCAAAAATAAAAATAAAGGAAAAAATAATCAAAGTAAATAACTAAAAGAGAAGAAAAGAAAACCCTCAAATTAAATCTAGAATTAATCACTTCATTAAATTCAACAACTCTTGTAGTGACATCAAAAACTTAATGTGTTAAAATTCACTAGTAAGTGCACTAGTTACTCTTGTAATAAAAAGGAGAATCATTCCCATGAAGATTATAACTAAGTAAGTATATAAAATAATTAATTGTAAAATTATTTAAACAATTATAAAGAAAGAATTTCTAACTAAAATTAATTAAAAGGAAATAACAATTTAACATAAAATCACCAAGGTATTAAGGCATCCGACATCTCCAAAACCAATTAGCATAAATTGTAGATTATTATGTTTTAAAGATATTTACTATTTATAAAACAGCATAATTTCTTATTCCATTTGATATATTTTCATAAATTATACTAAATTTATTTTCACTTATTAACCTATTATATCTCCATATGAATTTAAATAGTAAAAATGCATTATATTTTATAAAATTCTCTAGTTTAAAAGAAAATCAGGTTTATTTATCATTAATGTTGCATAAATTATTTTGGTTTATCTTTGTGTCACGCCCCATAATCCGAATTTGAGGCGCGACAAACGTTGTGCACTCGTGAGAGGGTCCCACAAATGCACAAGACTCGGAACTTATCATACCACAATCTGATACCACCAAAATCTAAAGATAAAATTATAAAATTTACTCTGATATCATAAAATCTCCAAATACACTCTAGCTTACAAGATCATGATTTATATCTAAATCTATGCTCAATTTACAAGATAGCTAGCCTTCTAACACGTCACTCCCCTCGCTTTTCCCCGTCCTTGACTTCACTTCCTAAAATGGTGGACAAGGAAAAACTATGAGATAACTCAGTAAGTAATTATGGATAACCCGTAATTAAACTCATAGCATACCAACAAGCATAATCACGAAAACGGTTACAATGCGGGAACGAAATAGACGTCTCCTCTATAGATCATAGCCATTGTTATAAACCTCCCACTAACAGGCACACGATTTACTAGTGTTTAATCCCACTAGCAGGATAACAGAAACGAACCGGTTCTATCAGTAACATGTCGACATGTGCTAGCGTTTATAAACCTCCCACTAGCGAGCACACAAATAACATGACCATATCGAAGACAAAACAGACAGAAGTTAACAGGAAAATCATAATTCACAAATCATTTCCAGATCATCAGGACAGTCAAATAAACTTCAAGCAGGTATGCTTAAATTAATAAAAAGAATAATAATCTTATTTCAAATCCATCATGCTCATTTTTGTATAAAACGGGTTTAATTCCGTCACCACTTCAAAAACAAGTTAAAATATACTTTTTAAATCGGAGGGCATTACCCTAATTTACTTACCTCAAATCCGAAACTCAAATCAAGTGCTCAGGTGACAAAACACTCAAGAACCTAATCAAAATATCCAAGAATTAATTATCGTACCACGGATTCAAAAGTAAAATCACTATGACTACCCTTAATCACGATGCTATTTCTATCTGTCCCCATATGATCGGACATCTCCAAATTTATTCTTATATTACAAACTAAACATTTAATCTGTCACGCCCCAAAACCCAAATCCGGAGTCGTGGCAGATGCCGTGCACTCGTGAGCGGGGCCCACAAATGCACAAGGCTCAAGACCTACTGAGTTCTTACTTAGCAATTCATATTTAAGCCTTTTAATCTACCAAATAGTTACCAGTTGAATGTACAAAATTTATCACTTCATATATATAATCATGACTAACACTAAATTATGTACACAAAATTTTCTATATCAAGCATGGGTGACTAACGGCTTAGCTACAAAAACCTAAGTCCAAAAGTGCCTAGCCGTTTAGCTCGTCACTCCCCCGGACTTCCCACGCGTCGGGTCTCACTACCTGAAATGGTGGACAAGGAAACCGTGAGATAGAAATATCTCAGTAAGTAAACATGGGGGCCCGACATCAAAGTTTAAAGCATGCCAAATAATCGGTTGAAACATGAACAGAGCGTTTCAAGAACAGAGCGTTTTAATAACAAATCATTAATGCAAAATAAAATCATGTAGTGGTCTCCTCTATTAGTCATGGCCAGTGTTATAAACCTCCCATTGGCAGGCACACGAGTACTAGTGTATAATCCCCACTAGTAGGGCCACGAGTGCTAGTGTATAATCCCCACTAGTAGGGCCACGAGCGAACCGATTCTATCAATAACATGTCGACATGTGCTAGCATTTATAAACCTCCCACTAGCGGGCACACGAATAACACGACCATATCGGAGACAAAACCAAGCAAGATTTACAGAAACCACAATTCACAATCGTTCTCACTTTCAAAATAAACCGAAGAATCTCATGTGGGCATGCTCAATTCTAGAAAAGAAGGAAAATAATAAAAGTTCAAATTCCCTTTTTAATC